AAATAATGCTGTATCAAATTTATAGATTTGCAACCTCTTAATTTTTTATATTTTCCTTGATCTGCCTCTATCTCGAGAAGTTTTATGCCAAATTTGGAGGGAATTTAGGAATAGGTGAAGAAAGGAACTTATAGTTATCAATTTATTTTCGGTTACGTAAATACACTTTCCTTCATTAGCCTACACTTCATCAATGACATGGAGCTGGTTTTGCTTTTGAGAAATAGGCGTTGCCCGACAATCTGATAAAGCAAAGTTTACATGATAATAAAATTACGAGTTCGCGTTCCGGTGCTGGAGGGGAGGGGGAGAGGATGCTTTTAAACTTAAAACTGTGGCATTATTCCAACGCCCTCGCCCTGACCCGGGAAAAATCCGGTATAGCCCAAAAGATTAGTAAGGGGAGGGAAAATAAAAAGTTGAAAGATTATAAATTCTGTTTTACCCAAAGTTAGTGGAAATTTAAAGAATAGAATTTCTTAATGCTATTGTACTAATTTCCGCTCTACTCTACTTTTAAACACACCAGTGATCCTATCTATTTCAGTTTTTGCCTCTCTACAAGGCGTCGCGTTAAAATAAAATTTTAGAAGATGAAATGTTGAATATTTATCTCGCTTACAGTATGAAGAAATGATTTTAAGTTTCTCAGATATTGTAATCTATATCTTCAATAAAACTCGTTATCACTTGATTTTCGACGCTGTTTTCCCCATTTCGTCTCTTTAACACGGTGTCGCGTTATGACACAATTTAATAATAGTTAATTACAAAGAAGATGAGATGCTGAACTTTTACCTCGCTTACAGTATGCATATGCGATTTCGAGTTTCTGAGATATTTTAATGGATAAGTTCTACCAAACTCGTCCCCTTTTTTTCTCTCTAACACAGCGTCACATTAAGATACAATTTTGGGTTATAAAGAATTAAAATTCTAAATATTTCTCTCACTTATAGTATGCAGATGCGATTTATAGCTTCTAAAATATTTCAATCCTATTGCGAAAACACTTAAAAATTTTACTGGTGCGCTTGAAGTACAATATAAAAGAATCCTAATTTCATTAAATTCAATTTAATAGTTAAAATTATGTACATAATTGTTGAGAATAAATGGCGGTGAAATGTGGTAGACAGTGAACATATGGAAATAATATTCATAATATAAATATTTTATACTGTTTTTGTAAATTTTAATTTTGAACTTGTATTCTGAAATATAATTCATACCAATAAAGCATCTTTTCTTTAGTCCAATTTTATGGAATTTTCAGAAATTGTAATGTTGATATCTTGATGTTTCTGTTTCGACTTTATTAAATTTCTTGCACTACATTCACTTAGCCGTGCGTTTTCTTTTGACAAGACTATACACTGAAAAACGGTTTCTGTAAATTTCATCTTTAAACAACAAATCGTACACCTTGATGTATAGAAAATTATGTTACCGATTCAAATTATTAGGGAGTAATATTAATCCTACTTGGCATACGTTTTTGTAATTAAGCTCAAACGTTTTTTTATAACTTAATGTCAATAAAAGTTATAAACCCAACGAGTAGTTATTGTGCGTTTTATTGAAATATATTAAATAATGTAAAATCGTTATCATTGCCTAGGATCTTTGTTGTAGTTGTTTATTCCACGTTTAGTGGATAATAATAAAAAACGTTTCACTCCAAGATCAGTGCAACTCCAACTGCTCCAGATTTGCATAACAGTTCCCTGCCCCAGTAGCAGTTGTGCTTGATTCTTTTGCGACCTTAGGGGCGCATGTCGTTCTTGAGGAACGTGACTGGAGCCAAAACGTGAGGTCATACTCGAACATTTACCAAGTTCAGGAGGGTCAGATTACTCATGTAGTTGTTTTTAGTCCACTAAATATCTACGTATCCTAGATCAGGGACAATATTCAACAGAAAACACTACATCATTTACAAGTCATTATAAAAGCATTTCCAAAATAAAGATTATAAAAAAATCTCGTTCGTCGTATAATTTTACTAATCTCAAGCAAAAATCTTAAATAATTGAAGAATAACAAGATGAGCCGGAGGGACGGTCATAAAAATACTAAAGTAGTAACAAACTATTTTATTTAAAGCCAAAGTTTCGACCAGACTTTGCCGCTCTTCTTCAGGGGTTGTATGCAGTGGTGAGTTTCGGTTGAAAATGAGACAGAAAGAGAGTTTTAACCGAAACTACCTACTATATACGACCCCTTGAAGACCTGCAAAGTCGGGTCGAAACGTTGGCTTTAAAATAGCTTGTTACTATTATGACCTCCACTCCGGACCATCTTCTTACTCAATAATATACCACGGTCAACAATCAAGTATTCAATAAATAATTAAATGTCTTCTCAAATTGGGTTGGTTCAATTATAATTGTCTACATTGTACATAAAAGTCCATTGTACATGAGGTCCCTTTTCCAGCTCCTCTCCTAGAAGCGATGAATTTTGATGAATAAGGTATCAAACGATTTCAAATAAATAACGATCAAAAAATTATTCTATTGAATTCAAATGGTAAAATCTTAAGTGCATCACTCAAAAAGTATCCGATTTATGATTAATTATGCCCATGATAGTTAGACAAGTTTCAAAATTCCCTACAAAATGTTTTAAAAAAGAAATCATCCAAATCACATCATTTTAAGCAAATATATGCTCGTGAGAAATTAATTCCTCTTATAATACATTTCATTTACTTGTTGTCAGATTATATTTAATTTATCAATATTTAATTTATTGTTATATTTTTGTTATTGATTAATTACTGATTTATTACATTTTTTTTTAATTTGACTTCACCTCTACGTAATTTCTTGGATATATACTAATGAATTATTCTACGACTACTAAAAAGACAGTGGCCTAGAGATCTTCTGCTGACAAGTTAAACAATTATCAAGAATACAAGAAGATAGAATAAACGCCCACACATTTGCTTGATGCGTGGCAACGCCGTGGCAAATTTAATAAAAAATAAATAAATAATTTTTCCTAATTTTCATTTCATATTAGCCAAGTTCGACAATGTTCCAAGGTAAATAAATTACTCGAACTATTCGAAGTTGAAGTCTTCCAATTTTACTCTTCGTTCTTGGCATTTACCTCTTTTAGGATTGCGGAGTATATACTTTGTATATACAGTATTTAGGAAGACTCTCTTCATGCTTCGAAAACTTTTTCACAAGGTAGAAAAAATATACCATATAATCATAATACTTTGTCTTCATGCCATCAGTATTCTCAGAAATTACTTTTTTACGTGAGGTAGAGGCCGAAGATCTTGACAAAGCTAGGCTGAATAACGACTACATTACTGACGCCACTATTTCCGATAATCCGTCAATTCCCTCCGAATTCGGTCAGTAGTGATCCATTCAGCGGGACATGACGAGGTCCTTTAATTAGTTGGGTGAAAGGAGGACATTGTCTTGGACCTCAGGTTCGCGGTAACTCTCCTCCTGTAACGGCTCCAGAGGCTTATGTAGCATCCGCCGACGGGAAGGAAACGACACTGCCTTGCAATATCTGAGAGGCCGTGATATAATGTCCACTGCTATCTAGATAATGATCATACCAGCTATATATATATCGCAACTTGGGACAGATGAAAGTCCTTTGAAAGTATCACTGATCTAGTGTAGATGTCGAAAGTGTTGGATAGTTGCTTTGTTTTCACTGTTGGAAATATAAGTATCAACAAAAATGGAATTTAAAAGTATTCAGAAAAAAATATTAACTAAAACATTCATACATTTTACTTCAAATATTCATCCATTTTACTCCTGTAATAAAGAAAATTAAAACAGAAAGATGAGATGGGAGAAAAGCTAGCAGGACATATAAATGAATATATAAAGATCAATTTCAAGATATGAATTTAATAATTTTTTTTTTTATCGAATAGTAATACAATCTGCCACTGCTAGTGCAACAGACATTATAGCTGTATGTATATACCCATTTCTATATATAGCATGCAAGCTTAAATAAATTTTTTTAAAAAAATTATATAAATAAAAAAGCAATAAAATTAATTTTAATTATAAAAAGAAAAAATACAAAAAAATTATGAAAATAAAAATGAAAGATCTATTAAATAAAATACAACTATGTTACTAGTATCTTAGGAAGCAAGCATAAATAATCTTTATCAATGTAATCATTATCATAATACTGTTATTGAACTCTAGAATTTTGAATCTAGTAAATCGTTATCTTTTGGCTCATCTTCAACATTATTTATTAAACTATTGTTTTTAAAGTTGTCTCATACAAATCTATGCCATGGTTATTATTATATTACCTATTATTACTATAAATGTAATTAATATGTTTAATTTTTGTAGGAAGGATTAATTAATAAGTTCTTCATATCATTTTTTTTTTTTTATACCTTTCTTTATTAGTTTGATGTTTCGGGCATTTGTTGCCCATTTTGAAAAGCTGTTGAATAATTTTATTTCTGTATCATTGTGAACGTTTCACACAAGGTTATTAATTTCATTTCTCATTATTTATTAAACTATTGTGTTTAATGTTGTCTTATGCAAATCTACTACACCGTATATATTAGTCAAATCAATTTAATATGTTTGATTCCTTATTGTCTATCCTTTAACTAACCCTATTTTTGAGATGGACGACGAGAAATAAAAAATATTAAATTGATTAACATATTCAATTGATAAACATAGTCATTGATTTCACAATAGTTTAATAAATAACGTAACTTATACAATAATTTAGAAAGAAAATTTTAAACAACTTTTGAAAAAGTGCAACAAAAGCTCTAAAAATCAAACTAATAAAGAAAGATAATATGGAGACGTTATTAATTTTTCCTATGAAAAATTCAATGCATTTAAACATATTAATTGGAATTATTATGTAATTATAATTAATTATTAATTAATGGAATTATTAGGTAATATAACAATCATATAAATCCATTATTTATTTTATTTAGCTTATTTCTTTTATAGAACCATAGTAGTAACTTCACCCAAACAATTTCCTGTGTTATGCCGATGTTACGTCTATGAGAACACCTGTCTTCGATATGATCTATTCGGCAGCACGTTCTCGAGAGATCCTATTCGCCAATTTCACTCTCTACTATAGCCCACTAGGTCGTTATTAAGTTTACTTTCGGATTGGTCTTCCTCCCTAGTTCTAACTATAACAAGATAAACCTAGAATATGTGAAAAAATAAAGAAAAAAAACTTGAAGACTGATGACATTGCAAAAATGCTTTTCTCCCTGAGGCCATTTAATGTCCTGTGATGTGAACTGCCGTAACATCGGAGCTCATCAGTGCCACCGCAGAGAGAGCGGGCTTCGGAGAAACCTCCAGCTCTGCTTCTCCAGATTAAGGGGTTTGAAAGGGAATTCAACTTCGGGGGAAGATCTACTGCGACGGGTTCTAAGAATGGTGAAAATGTTTGATAAACGAATCGCTAATGGAGATCTGAAAGGTATCGCTGGCGGATATGACAAGGTGTTGACTGGAAGATGACATTAAATCTTTTCTCGCCATATGAACACTTTGTAATTCTTCAAACCCAAGATTATCAGTATTCGCCAGTCATCTCCTTTATGATTTTATTTTATTTTTTTTTAAACTACTACGTTAGACCCTCGCAATAACAAGGAGAAATTATACTGGGATACCTACACCTAGGTTTATAGAGATACCTCGGCTATTGTCGACATAAAACAGATATTTTATGTCCTATTAGGCCATCAAAAATAGTGAACATTTTTTTTATTGATACATATCCGTTGCTAATGGTTGTTATTATTATCTCAAAAGAACTATTTATTTTAAATAACCTTTAGCTTTTTTTTGTCATTATTGTTAGATTAATGGAAGTGATTTTCTGCAGACATTTTAAAAACTCAATAGACAATTTATTCCTCCCTCCATTGAAGCCAATATTGTCGAAGGCGGTTTTTTTTTCGGCGTTGTTGCAAACTTCTATTCTCTTATTTTTTTTCCTAAAACCAACAGATAATTTGAGTGAGATATTGAATATAAATTTAATTTAAAATATATATGTCTTGCTATGAACAGTTCCTAATCAAAAACCGAAATGGACGAGTGGTCCAAGGCGCTTGTAATAGGTAATCAAATCAAAATCCTTCGGATATTTGAGATCCTCTAGCTTACTGGAAGCAACTCACACCGACCGGGTGTGGTAGTGATGTCGGAAATCGTGGTGTTGTGTTCCCGGAGAACAGAAACTTTCAGAGATTTATTCCTCGTACAGTCTATTTCAGGGAAAGGAATATTTGTTCTCGCGGACCTTCTAACTCAAAGCAGTCATAATCCATGGGTCTAAACCGATTATTGACTGTCCTTGAATCCAAGTTAATCGGTAAGAAGTATACTGTCAGATTGGCCCCAAAGGAATCAAACAATATACGTCTGTAAGAGGGCCTTAATTTAATATTATGATGAATAAAATATAATTGATATATTGAAATATCAAAAAAATATTTTTAAAAGATATCTTTAAAATAAATTATCAAACAGTGCTAAGAGTAGGATTCTGTCGCATTAAAAGGTTAGAATGTTAAAAAATATATATGCTTGTATTCGTCAACAAATATACTAAATTGACATGAGGCTAAATGTACTAGTTCGATATTTTTAAACCTAATAAACAATAAAAATAAAATAAAATTTATGCTTAAAATTCAATATATTTACGTAAAATTTCAACCCATGCGAAGCGTTACCTAATATATAAAAACACTTGTTTTTATTTATTTTTTCAATGATCATTTAATTTTATGCTATTTTTTTTTCTTTTTAATTATAATCGAATAGACTTTCAATAAACGAATAAAACATGGAAAATGGCCCCATTGGGTAGACAGTATGTGCCGTTGTACTTTCACTGGGGAAAGGGAGAGCTCCAGTTCTCGGACTCCTGGAAGACCAGTGCAAGGCTCCACAACTCCATATTCCACAGAAGAATCAATTTTTTTTTCTTAGAGAAGGATCTTATTTTAAAGTTAATAAAGAACTTATTAACTTCATTATACCATATCAATTTTAAAAAAATGTTTTTAGATTTTTAATTTGATGGCAAATAATAACTTTCGGATCTCTAAGGGTCGAGAGAACTAGGCAAACAGAAAGAGCCTGGACGAGTGAACGAAAGATAAAGCGTCCTTACGAAGGATTATTGTTGAAAGAAACTTCATACAAAGAAGAAATGAAATTGGTGGTGGATCCCAATTGATCAATCGCTAATAAAATAAATAATAAAAATAACTTAAATAAAAAATTGTGATTGATCTGTAGCTTTACAATCCAAACTTGTTTTAAGTTACAGATTTCATAGTCGTTTTTTCATAATTATTGTCAAAACATTTCTTATGAAATTTAAAATGTTATGTAGAGTTAAGGACCTTTATTCCTTAAATCAAAATTTTAGATGGCACTCTTTACAAGAAGAGGCCACGAACGTGGGATTGCCGATTTCAATAAAACTTTTTTATTGTGATGATAGAAAAATATTAGACCTATGTACGAACATTACCCACGGGGTTCCTACTTATACAATCTTGGAGTCAAGGATTGTTTTCTACTTCTAATTTTAACGGATTTCAAGTTTTTAATATACTAATCGACTACCATCCCTAAATTTACTAAAATAAAGAAAACTTTTCATTTTATTTTAGATACTAGTAGCTTGTCAAGTACTGGAATGTTGCTATTAATTATGTGATTAACATTAAAAAGGACCCATTTATTGCAATCCAAAATCTTTATTCACGTATCACAAGCCTTGAAGAATAATTTCAAAATTGGAGGATTAAAATAAATTCAGATCCACCAACAGTTCCACTCAAACCACACTTTAAGTCTGTTGTTTTAAGCCTGACTGCCTGTCTTACAGTATCCTTTAATAACTCCACTTATTCCTGTTGAACATATCCGATACCTAGAACTCTATCTCGGCAAACCTCTTATTTAGGATCTTCATGCAAGACTGAAACAACAAGAAACTGCTAGACGTTTCTGGCTGCTCTAACATTTACTAGACAAACACCCTAACCACAAATATCACATTTACAATGCAATAATAAGGCCAATTGTGACTTGAGGAGTTGAGCCTCGGTACCATAGAAACCGACGTTTTTCTCTCGTATCCTTTCAATCCAAAACTCTCATTTCTTCTTTGTTACCAATAAAATTATGTACAACGATCTTAATGTTCAATATGTTGCAGATTTAGCTGAATCCAGATAAATATCCTTCCATAGTAAGCTCCAAGCTTAACTAAAACTTAAAACAAGCTTATTTTGTAACCTTGGATCCTCAACTATTTCTGACAACCCTTCTAAGCGTCTAAATAGAAGATCGTGACCTAATGAAGAACTGTTATTGGAGTCCTAGCAATGCATAATTTCTTTTCAACTCTGTCCAGGCAATTTATACCATTTAACATTTATTGTATAATTTTTTGTGTTTTGTACTTTGCACAATCGTAAATCTGAATAAATAAAATTTTAAAAACAAACAAAAAAAATGATAACGGGATAAGCACCTCACGGAAAGATATGTTTTTCAAAAACGTTCAGGTTAGTGCTACTATGGCCATGAATACCAATATTTTTTTATTGCTTTTAAATTAATTATTACATTATATGCGAATATTGCTAATTGCATTTGCTTAAAAGGTATTCATATTGTCCACATCTGTATGGTCATTTCCTCTTCAGAAATGACGTAGGGGAAACTAAAAAAATTCAGGACAACTTAATTTTCTCTGAAAAATTAATACGACACTAAATAATTGAATCAATAAGGTAATCAATTGTATATAATGAGTAAAGTTATGTACATGAAAGTTTTTAAAAAAGTATACAAACCTGTGTGTTATGAGATTGTTTGACATGGATAGTTAGATTTGTTAATTATGTGAAATAAACTTTTTTGTAAATGTAAATGTAAACTAACAATGACATTAAAATTTTTCCAGACTTGAAAATGGCCCTTGTGATGGTCGAAGCGAAGTCGTAATAAAATAGCTAATAAATAAAATGTTGGTGAATAATGGCCTAATTTATATAACAAATAAAATATTTTTTTACTCACGTGAAAGTATTTTCAGTTAAAAAGTTGTTAATTTAAATGGATTTATTTAATATACAAAACTCCTAGATATTTCTTCTGTTTGAATGAACGTTTCCTCTCCGGCTAAAAAATGATGCAAATTTAAATTCTTTGAAACGCCTACGTGGTTTAATATTTTATACTCAAGTGCTTAAACCCGATCCAGAGCCAAATGGAGCCGACGAGTTAGTACCAAAAGAGAACCCACGAACTCCGGACCTGGCTAACAAATCGTGAGCCTCTGGAACGAAACTTGCTGTTTATGGAACGGATTGCCCGCTACTCCACTCCGAGTGTGATAAGGCCCTGCTATAAAGAAGATAAATTTCTGATTTTAGGGTTCCAAATGGACTCGTGTCTGCATTCTCCGAGTGTTTAAGTACGACTTTTTTATTCCTTACTAATTCTCCATTTACATAGGTATGACTGTGTTTTCAAAAGACTCATTTTATTTTCATTCAGCTTCAAATCTATCATTTGGTTTATATTATTAATTTATTATCACCATTATTTTTAATTTTATTTTAGTTTTTTAAAATTATTTATATGAATTTAGGTACATATTGAAGATATGAACACTCATACCCCAAATAATTGTTTCTCTTCATCGTGTCACATTGTGTTGTTATCCAATAGACTTATAACAAATTAAAATTTTAAAAAAAATTCCACGTCAAAGCTACTACTTTCGTTTTTGTTTTTAATTTATTTATATTTATTTCCCTTTTGTAGGTACATATTGAAGGAATGAACACATATACCCCAAATACTTGTTACTCTTCAATGTGTCAGATTATATTATTATTCGATAGACTTATTACAAATTTTAATTAATTCTTCACTTCAAAGCATCTGACTATGGTGGATTTAATAACTTTTATTATACTTTAACGAAACTGATTCCGTAAACCGGTTTAATGAATATTTTCCATTGATTTAATAAATGATCAGGGTAAAAAATGATAATTCAAGACGATTTAAGGGAAGTTC